ATGTGCTGTGTGTATTTACTTTTGGAGTAGGGAACATCCTACCACATAATTCCCAAAACCTTTCTTACCCTAAGAGCTGGATTCCCCAGAGAATTGCTTACTAGGGTCTTGTGATACTTGCAGGTCCTTTTTATTTGTACTGCCAATGTAACAGAAACCATTCCAGAGCCTCTGCGGGACAGGATGGAGGTGATCAACGTGTCAGGATATGTAGCAGAAGAGAAACTTGCAATTGCAGAGGTAAGAGAAACCAGTTTTGGACAGAGTTCCTTTGATTTGAACCTCCACTTAGAGCACTTCCAGTGCCCCCTGAGCTGTGGGTCCAGGGAGCAGCACTGGGAGAGGCTGACTGCGCTGGGACCTGCAGGTGCTAACAGGAGGGTCTGGGGGTTCTCTCTTGCAGAGGTACTTGGTCCCTCAGGCTCGTGTGCTGTGTGGCTTGGATGAAAACAAAGCCAAAATCACACCAGAAGTTCTGACTGTCCTCATCAAGCAGTACTGCAGGGAGAGTGGGGTGAGGAACCTGCAGAAACAAGTAGAGAAGGTGAGGGAAGGTTGTGTGTGCCTGTGCCCACTGTGCTTCAACCTCCTCAGCTCTGCCTGCACAAACAACTCACTGTCTCACCAGGTACTGAGGAAATCTGCCTACAAAATCGTGAGTGGAGAAGCAGAGATGGTGCAGGTGACTCCTGAGAACCTGCAGGACTTTGTAGGGAAGCCAATCTTCACTGTGGATCGCATGTATGAGACCACTCCCCCCGGGGTGGTCATGGGCCTGGCCTGGACTGCGATGGGTGAGGCTCAGCAGCTCTTGGGGTGAGGTCAGATTTCTGCTTCATTTGCAGAAACTGAGTGTGAATTTGCTCTCCTGAGCCCAGTGAAGCTCTTCTCTGGCACCAGTAAAATGAGCTCCTTTGTCCTTTGGATCCTGGTGCTCCTTCCCTGAAGGGAACCTTCCTTCCCCCCAGGGTTCCAGCCCTCTGGGGGTGCACTTGGCTGACATTCTGGGGGCTTGTGTGCACCACAGGGTGCAACTACACACAGCAAAGAGAGGACCATGCTCAAACTGACCTTGGGTGGAACTGCAGCAGCTGAGAGGGAACTGATCAGTGTGGTGGGAAGGGAAATAGATGTGTGGCACCAGAGAGCTGGAGTGGCTAGAAGTGTGTGATGGTAAGAACTCATCTTTGGGAACAAACAGCCTGAAACCATTATAAGAACTTGATTATTTCCACTAAGTAGGGGCTGCATCTGTGTTGGTAGAGGCTGAAATCCAAGGGAGCAATGAATGGAGACTGCTGAGTTCTGGCTGCCCTTCCTGAAGGGATTTGGGGGGCAGATTTCAGCTGCTTTTTACCCAAGGGCTGATGTCTCACCAGAGAACCTCAGCCCCAAATCCATAACATTGCTTCTGCATCCCCAAAACTTCCTGGTTTCATTTCCCTTTAGCTTTCCTCAGGAGATTGTTTTTCTTCTCTTTCTCAGGAGGTTCCACTCTGTTCATTGAGACATCCCTGAGGAGACCCAAGGAGAAGGAGAACAAGGATGGGTCCCTTGAAGTAACAGGGCAGCTGGGAGATGTCATGAAAGAGAGTGCCAAAATTGCTTACACATTTGCAAGAGCCTTTCTGATGCAGAAGGACCCCAACAATGACTTTCTGATGTCCTCACATATCCACCTGCATGTGCCAGAGGTAAAGTGCTGCAGAGCTCCCACAGCAGCCAGGCTGGTTTGCTCCCCTAGCTGGAAGGTCTTTTATTTGCCCATAGGATGTGCACAGTGTCTTCTTTTAGCAGTAAAACCTGGGAGTGAAGACATTTTCCTCAGGTTCTTGGGAAAATACAAGTTCTGTTTCCACTCCTTTCTGCATGTGGCAGAAATGATTGATTTTCTGAATGATTTTTGGTACTGTCCTCCACCCTTTTGTGACTCTTGACACTCTTCCTTTGTGGTCTTGATCTCTGTTCCTTGTCTCCATGGTTGGCTTAGATCTACAAAAGGCTTCAAAAAGTCTTCTATGTTCTTTCTTTCATTCATGCTACTTACTCAAAAGTCCTGAGCCTGATGAGTGTAGTGGTGGCATCAGGTCACACACCACATTGTGGCCTCAGGGATTTTCCTGACCAAGTGAGGAATGGCACAGTTGTTAGATCAGCCAGTTCAAATAGGATTCCACTAGTGCAAAACCCTTTGGGAGAGCCTGTGAAACTGGGGGGCTGAACCAGCAAGGACAAGGGGGGTTGTCTGGTTCTGCTGCTCCTGGAAGGAGCTGTTGTCACTCACTGCAGTGGTTCAGGGTTGGACCTGATGCTCTTCCAGCCTTGGTGATTCCATGACTCAAGGCAGAGGGTTGTGCTTTGTGTTTCCAAACAGGGAGCCACCCCCAAGGACGGGCCCAGCGCAGGCTGCACCATCGTCACAGCTCTGCTGTCCCTGGCCATGAACCTCCCAGTGAGGCAGAACGTGGCCATGACTGGAGAGGTGTCCTTGACTGGGAAAATCCTTCCTGTCGGGGGCATCAAGGAGAAGACCATTGCGGTAAGAGCTCCTTGGTCTGTGGGGACAGAGCCCTCCCTGGCTGGGGCTCAGAGGGGACTGGGGTTGCTTCTTGCAGCGGGTGAGGCAGCGATTCCATACATGGTGGAGAATCCATGGTGTGAGGAAGGAGATGGGAACCCAAGCCCTGCTCCAGAGCAGCTGTGTTGGTGAAGGTGAAGGTGACAGCTTTACCTGTCAGAGCTGTCTGCTCTGTCCCACACGGGCAGAGTCCCATAATGAGCCTCTCCAAGGGCATCCCATGGGGATTTGGCAGTATCCATAAGCATGTCCTTAACATCAAGTCTGTGCCCTAGTTCAGTGTGAATCTCTTAGCATTTCATATACATGTCTAGTTTAGACAAAAAAAACCTGTATTTTTAGTTTGAATCCTTGCAGTTTTCAGAATTCCTTTCCCAGCACTGAATCTCTCCCTACTTTCCACCTCACAGCTCCAGCCTATGTTAGCCTTGCACCACACATTTTGCTGTCTTAGGAACATTATTAGCTCTTTGACTGTTGAGTTGGGGCTTCATGTCAGAGCTGTCCCCAGACCTGTCTGGGCTCCAGCCCAATGTGATGGTGCAATGTGGTTTCCTCTCCCCATGTGGTAACTGTTGGTGACAGTACCTGCAGGACTGACCTGTGCTGGTGCTGCTTGTGGCACTGAGTGCACCTGCAGGAGTGTGAGTGCCACAGGGTGAACCAGGAGCATCAAGTGATGGTGCAAACCTGCCCTGGGAGGAGCAGCTCCACATTCCATGCTCCTTCCAGGACAGGTGTCTCTGTACAATGTCCAGTGGAATGGTGTGCTGGGGATTGAGGGGTGGGATGGTCTGCTGAGCTGTTTAGAACTCTTGCTTTGATCCTAGGCTCTGTGCTCACCCAAGCTGGGACACTTACAATCCCCAGTGTGCTGACACAGTCCTACTGGAACGTGTCCTCAGCTGTCCCTGCAGCTGAGATGGCACTGGAGTGTTCTGGGGCTTGGGGAGATGTAGTGACACCAGTCAGGAATGACCTTGGTGCTCTCCCAAGAACAGAGCAGAGCTCGATCATGCTCCTAAAAACTGTCCTTGCACTCTGGAATAGGGAAGTGTTTCTGGTGGATGGAAGTGTTCCTAGGACCCCCCAGCCTGCCTAACTTTCCTCTCCCCACAGGCCAAGAGGGCAGGTGTCACCTGCATCATTCTGCCATCAGAGAACAAGAAGGATTATTACGACCTTGCTGGATTCATTACAGAGGGACTAGAAGTGCACTTTGTGGAGCACTACAAGGAGGTGTTTGATATAGCATTTTCACAGCTGGATCCAGTTGGGGGATGACACCCAGCACCCGTGGCTGGTGGTCTGTCCCTCAGCACCAACCCCTGCCCAGAGGTGGGTGGCCAGGGGCAGTCCTGGAGTGGGACGTGAAGCTCTTGCTGCTGAGCAGCTGCTGGAATGAATTATGGCTCTGCTGGAATAAAGGATTTCTCACCAGTACTCAGTGATGATCCACATGAAAGGATTCCCAAAGGAACAGGCATGTTGGCAGCCACCAGCAGTGGAGCTACTCTGGTCTCTTCTCATTCAGGATGTTTCACTTATGTCACTGTAAATCTCAGTGTGCCCTGTGGAAAGCACTGACCACAGCCCCAGAGCCAGGGCTGATGCACAGCAGTGTCCTGGGGTGGGGGGAGCTGAGGAGCTCCCAGAAATGGGGTTTGGCTTAGGAGCCTGAGAGGACACCAAAATCCTAGGACAGAGCTGGTGTGTTCAGCTGCTCAGATCACCAGGAACAACTCCAGGCTTGACCTAGGCCCAAGAGCAACAAGCAGCTGTCAGTCAGCACTGCCTGTGCCTCTGCAACTGCTGTACCACCAAAAGAAAGGGAATTGGATGTTGTGCACCAACACAGGCTTGGGCCAGAGAACTCCCAATGCTTTATCTTACAACAGATGCTAGGAAAAAGGGAAAG